TCTTTAAGAAAAAATTCACTGTCCTCTGACCTAATGTGTCCTACCATAGAACTGGAGGTCTTAGGCAATTTCCCTTTTTCGGCTACATTCTGTCTTGTACACAACACAAAAGCTTCTTGTTTATAGTGTCTAGCTTTTTGGATGACACCAGGGGTCCCTGTGCCGCGGTATTCACATCTGGTACAGTCCCTCCCACACTGGATCGGGTTAAACCGGGTTATACTGCAGGACCTCTATGGAAGTGATGTGAGCCTGGGTCATGAAAGACATCAGAGCTTCCCTCTTACTTTGTCTGAGCGTACTCACTCAGGGAGGAAGTTGGCCCCCATGCCCACATGGAAAGATACTAGGCCTCCTGCGATCAGCCCCCAAGCCTACAACTTTCTTTAGGTCCTCAGTAAATAGTCTACCATCAAGAACGAGGAACGGTGGCACACACCTGTAGTCCCAGCACTTGTGGAGCTGAGGTGGGAGGATTTGAGCTTAGGAGGTCCAGGCCAGCCTGGGCAAGATAGTGAGACTACAATTTAAAAATTCAGTGCTGACTGTATAGTTTAGGTCTATGTGAGATGAAGGTGATACCAAAGGCCCCCAAAAGAGTGAATGAAGGCTTCAAAACAAACTAAGTTTCTGGGTTTTATTTTATATATATATTTAGTTGGACACAATATCTTTTATTTATTTTTATGTGGTGCTAGGATCGAACCTGGGGCCTCGCACATGCTAGGTGAGTGCTCTACCCTTGACCGACAACCCTAGCCCCGGGTTTTTATATTCTTGATGAGCCCCTGTGGCTCTGCTGTGGACGGGAGGTCAGTGTGTGCTGAGAATGTGCTGACTAATCCCTGCTGGACAGTGAAACTGCATTAGCTCAGAGTCACAGTTACCTTAGATGGTGAATCTGTAAGTCTGAAAACTGGAGCCAAGACCCTTCATGACACTGCCTTTAGGATCACACCGTAGAGTATCTGCAAGAGGTCTCTTGTCCCGCAAGGTGCAGGTGTAGATTCCTTCTGTGTGACTGCTTACTGAGCTTATTAAACGGGTGGTCATAAATGTGGGCTTGTCTAATAAACTTCAAAATAGTAATGGAGGGAAGTAACAGAAGTAATAGAAAAATTTCCATAGGAAAGGGAGTGGGAATGCTGCAGATATTTGTTAAGAGAGCACAAGTATGTATAGCGGGCGTGCTAAAGGTAAGAGGCTGTCTCTTTTTAGGAGAGAAGAGGAGCTGCAAGCACTTGCTGGCTCTCTTGTCATGTGTAGGCTACCAAAGCACAAGCAAGAGTAATCATTTCTGAGCTTATCCTCAGTGCAGGAGCCTGGGACACCTAGACTGGTCTGGGTTGTGTTTCTTCAGGGAGGATCGTGGCACCAAATCTTTACAAGGTGTTATTTTATTAAAGCGCTAATACTTTGCTGTGGTACCAGCATTTCAAAGAAGAAAATCTGATACAATATTCCTAATGGTATAATTTAGAACTCCTGAGGGGGAAATTAAGCAGATATTTTTAGTCAAGGTGTCACTATTTTTGTTCCACAAATCCCATTATGTTGGAAACAGCATACCTCTAATAAGACGTTTCTTATAGAATGAAGTGCACTCTTTTCCATAGTTGGTAAAGTTCAATCTTAATTGAGTTCTTTCTGAATTTCATTAAGGTCATGGTTTTCAAAGAATTTCTGGGGGCATAGCTCAGTGATAGTGTGCTTAGTGTGTACAAGGTCCTGGGCTCAATCTTCAGGAAGAAAAAAGTTTGTGGATTACCCTTCCTATTCCATGGCCATGCCAAGTTGCAGAGAAAATTGAACTAGCAGTGTCTTCTTCCTCCAGGACACATGGCTGCTGTTTTTGGCTCATCCCACTAAGACCTGGCAGTTTCATGCACACAGTGTTGTAAGATTTGTTCTACATGTGTTCCAGGTACTCCAATTCTGTTTCACAGGTGCTGAGGCTAGAAGCTTCACGTTTTCCCTCAACATCTGTTCCATCCTATTTTTATGACATTATAAGAGTGTTTTTTGTTTTTTGTTTTTATGGGCAAAAGTTTAAAATAGACATTTCTCCAAATAAGATGGAAGAATGGCCAATAAGCAAGCTGCTCAATATCATTTATCATCTGAGGAAGGGAAATCAAAATCACAAGATCCACTTTATACCCAGTAGGTAGGCTGTAATAAAAAAGACCTACTTACAAATAGGCGGAGAAAATGGAACCCTCAGATGCTGCTGGTGGGAATGTAAATTAGTGCCACCAATTTGGTAAAATCAGGCAGTTTCTTTGCAGTGCTGGGCATCAAACCCAGGTCTCCTGTATGCTAGGCAAGCACTCCACCATTAAGCCACATCCCCACCCCCTTCTCAAACCATTAAAAACAGTTAACATATGACCTAATATTTACATCCTTAGATATATATTCCTAAAGGAACTAAAAACATGTACATAGCTAAAAAGAAACAACCTAAAAGTCCATCAACTGATGGATAATATTATTCAACAATAAAAAAGCAATTAAGTATTGATACATGGTACAACATGGAAACTTTCTGCTAGTCAAAAAAGACCAGATACTGAAAGTCTCCATTTATATAAAACTTTAAAAAAGGTAAATCTATAGAAACAATATAAATTAGTGGTTGCCTAGGGCTGGAAGAGAGGAAAGAGAATAACTGCTAGTGGGTGTGGGTTGTCTTCCTGGGGAGGATAATATAATGGTTGCAGAAGTGTGACTATACTAAAAACCATTAGATCATATACTTTAAATAGGGGAGTGGTATGTGACTATTTCAGTAAAGCTAATATTTAAAAAATAAGTTTTCATCCATGAAAATAATTACGAATACAAACTAGGGCCTAGTCAAGAATGAGCCCGTGTTTACACACAGGTTTCTCTTTTTAAAATCAATGTCATAAATTATGTGAAATCTTCAATTTTACCCATTTCCACACAGCTATATGATAGTGAAAATAAATCAGCATAACAACACTAGCACTGCAAGCTGTGACCTTTCAAAGTTAGAAACACTTTGGAAACCCTAGAAATCTCATCCTTGGTTTTGGATAATTTATATTGAGGGCTCCAATTTATATTGAACCCAACTGAGGTTCCAGTTATACCTTTGGCTCACGGGTAAAAACAGAGTTATCACAATTATTATGTTTTGATTTCACATTCAGCAGTACTCCTAGGACGGGACCAGCGCGGCAGGCGCGGGCTGTGCTCCCGCCAGCTCCTGCGCTCTGGGCGAGGCGCTGACACTCAGTGGCCCAGGACCCGGGACCGACCCCGCCACACCCGCTTCACCCTGCGGACCTAAGGGTAGGGTGGGGGATGAGGTTGGGGGATCCTAGCGGCAATGTTCTGACTGCAGGGCACCCACGGCCAACTTCCCCGCCAGGTCACAGCAGCA